TTTATAATTATAAATTATTAAAAAATTATGAAATTTATTTATGTACATATATACTTAATTTTATAATTAAAGTTCTAGTCTCGTTAAATCATTAAAGCAATTTTCTAATTTAGAGATTAGTGATTACTGTGGCAAACTTTTACAACTTAAAAGTTTTTAAAATCAAATATCAAATATATTAATATTTTATCATACAATCAAAAAAAGTACGGACAAACTTTTTTCTTTATAAAAGAAATTGTTGTGTGTCATGATTTTTTTTATCTTATTGTTCTGTTCGCGTCTATTTGATTTAAATTGTAGTATTAGTTTTCACTAATATTTAAGATCTTTTCTGTGATATATGATGTCTTTGTTTTTAAATATAAGATCCTTTTTCTGTGAAATCTTTTTTATTATTTAGAGCTTTTTGATTATATTGGCTGTAACAATATGATTGTAAATTTGAACAGAACAACAGGGTTAAAACCTCTATATGATCTTCTTAAAAAGCTGAGAAAAAATTTCGCGAGAGCTTACAAAAGAGAACAACATTACACAACGTGTTATTGCACTTACGCCTGCGTGAGTATTCTGTTTTTGAAAGAGCTTCTGCAGATGCCTATCGCTTCTGCCGGCAGTGTCAGCGAACTTGGCAGTGCCCTCTTTGATGAGCAATTCCCTCTGTGTCCAGGCGTTGTTCTCCTCTGAGAATATCCTCTCGAGCTCGCGGAAGAGTTCATGCTTCTCCCGAGGCATGCACTGCCAACACTTCTCCAGTCGATACACCGGATTGCTTTGGAGGCCGGAGACGATTGCCTTTAAGCTACTAAAATTCTTGAGTATCCGCAATTCCTGCGCGACGTCGATCCACGTCTCGAGGATCCTGGCGCGCTCCTGAGATTTGAGCGTCGTGTCCGTCAGAATGGTCGAGATCACACGTAACGAGACGGCATTGAATTGGTTCACGGTTGCCACCACCGTGGCGGCTTCGTGACTCCTGGAACGATCCTTCCTGGACCATACGGCACCAAGACACTGATGGGCAACTAGCTTCTTAAACACTTCGGCATCCATCCGGGTTAGCTGCTCGGCGAAGTGACGATGGGGCACCTCGGGGAAGATGTAGTTCCCCCAGTGATCCGCCATCGGATCCGGGGAACCGCGCATGGGTAGTCGGCCATTGTCGTATACTATACAGTCTAAAAGAAAAAGAAAATCGAATTGAAATCAATCTGATTCGTTCTCAAATTAATGAAAATCAATCTAGCATTATGTGGCGAAATATTATTTTTTTTCATAATTGATTCTTTTTTAAAAGTTATTTTTATTTTATATGATTTTTTAAATATAAATTGTTGCAAATTTAAAAGAATAATTTAAATTAATTAAATCAATTTGTGTGACTTTGAAATTTCAATGAGATTAAAAATTTGTATTAAATTTTAATATTTAATTCTGATATAAATAAATTTCTTTAGAAATTCTTTTAAAAATATCTAAAAACTGAACTTAAATTAATCTAATCGAAAATTGATGAAAGTTAATATGGAATTAA